TACTTCTAGTTGAAGGATGAAATATTTTTGAGACTAAATCAAGGTTCGAATTTTCCAATAATTTGAGGTCTTTTCAAAGATTTTTAAATTTATTTTCTGTACAAAAATAAAAAGAATGAGGTGTGAAAAAGTCCTCTATTCATTTTACACCAGCCAGTGTGTGAGATTAATTGTTCAGCGATTTCACAGACAATTTGAAAAAAAAAAATTAACGGTCTTTCGACCCAGGAATTTTATTTCGGTGGTGTCGAATACAGGTCCACCACCGAATGTTAGTTTCACAAATATTATCTCATCTTCTGGATAATATTTTCAATTAACTCTCTACTCAAAATTTATCTTTTTAACATATCACATTTTTTAATCCTTCATGTACACATCTTCAAATATTATTTTTCTATTTTAATAATCGTAATGTTTAAACCGGAATTTCTAAGTGACATCTATATTCGACCTTACATACATGACTCACTTCAGATTATTCTCTGATTATTCTCTCCCGCCATTTTTTAGTCGATGAATATGAAAATTTGCTGAGCAGTAGAAACACGCTCGTCCCCATATTCCTCTCAAGAGAAAAAAAGTAGAAAATATCTGAGTATAAGAGCAAAAGTAAATCTAAATTCTTTTGTAGTTCAATTATAATCAAAGTTGACATTTAAAAAAGTAGAAAAATGCTAAGTACACTTATCTCTTAGTTAGTTATTCATATGAGCATCAATTCTAGAAGCTTAACCCCTAAGTATGTGCTTTAAAAACTTGTGAAACATTTTTATCAACAAGTGAGTGACATGTTAAATACTTTAAACACTAAATAAAAAAGTGATTAAACGTTAATGTCGTTTTTATAATAAAAAAAAATCACATATCTGGAAAGAGAAGGTAATTACTTAACAGTGTTTATTCTTCTTATATTTCTTGAACATTTTAGCTGGTAGAATAACTCAATATTTTCTACACAACTATATTATTTAATAAAATAGTCGGAGCTTGAAATAAATTATTTTGCTTTAACTAGATCAAAGAAAGCGAATGCAATGTAAATGCTCTTGAAATACAAGTGTGTAACCTCATACTGATAGTATGACGCCTAACTTTGTGTACGGTTAACCTCGCACGTGTGTAAACATGTGTTACATATGCAAAGTGTATTGTTCAATGAGTGTAAAAGAAAGGACTAAAGTACACATTACTTGTGTTCACAAACGACTTCTTATAGATTATTCTACTCTTTACATCTTACTGGCAAATATAAAAGAAAGTTATGCGAATTTTTCAACTAACTTTCGAGAATACTTGCAGAACTTTGAAATGAATGTTATAACCGTTATTTAATGAGTTTCATTTTTTATTATAGGCTTAACTTGAGTTATATAATAGGTCGTAAATCTGTCAATATTGCTTGTAATGGTCAAGAGGCTTTTCCGCGTAAAACGGAAATCGAGACATGCGTATACATCATTTCCGAGAATTCTGTTTTCCCTGGTTGTGAATTCTATGGTATGACAGCAAGATCAATTGCGTGTTATATCAATGTCGAATAAATATTATTACAAAATAAGGATTTACTCGATAGAGGAATGGCCGCTAGTGAAATAAATCATTCATTTTTGTAGAATGTTCGCTGGCTTAAGACAACTTGGAAAATGTTAATGGAAATATACTTTATGTTGAAATGAAAAAAAGTTTGTGCTTTTGCTTGGTAGATTATCAATACTGATTGCTAAGAGATGAAAAAATAAATTATTTGAATTGGATTTAAAAAAGAGAGAGAAAACGGAGTATTAAAAAAATGAGGAAAGCAAGAGAAAGAAGTTGCATCGATGAACTACTGTCAATATAAAGTGATGCATGAATTAATTGATCTGAGAGCTCAATTGATGGCTCGTGGGAAATTTGGTTATCCATCATTCATGAATAATGATGTATAAAAAAAATTGAATTTCATATTAAAATCATGTTGATCTCTAACAGCACAAATTCTTCATGTGTTGTCAACTATGTTGCATTATTTAAATTGAATGATTACTCTCATGCCATTTTTTCGAAGCAATTTTTTCTAATGTAATTGATGAATATTTTTTTAATAAGTTTATTAATTGATATTAAATGTTGCAAATTCTCATATCAATATTATTAAATAATCCATAATTAAAAGCATCATCATAATATTATAAGCTTAAAAAGTGGAAGTTATATCCTGATGATCGAGACTAATTTGCTAAACCTATAATTTTATGTCGGCTTATTATAATTATAATTTAACAAGTACTTATTAGCTTATGATAGCGCATAATTATTGCTTCTGTTGTGTATCATTAGCGAAAAAATTTATCCTACACAAAACATTTCATATAAATTCACCTTTTGTCGATATAATTTAAAAAATATTTATATACATAATTGTAAGCTTTTATTTCAGTTATTAGATAATTTCCTACTCTTAATTTCAATTGTGATTTTAAAACATCACATTTAATATTTTCTTTGTGAATGTTAAAACATACTTTGATCTTAGTCTTTTGAAAATTTTTTTTTATAAAAAAAATATAAAGCACAAAGTGACAGTCAGAAAAACCCATTTGTCCGCAGCCTAAAAGTGGTAGCGTGAAAAGACTTGCATTTTTTTTCACCTGTAACACATTCTAGCTGCAACAGAGGGTTAAAAATCCACTGAGACTTCTAGCGGCTTCCATGATTCTCGAGACTTTTTTTCTCATGTTTCCAAGCAGCATTTAAATTTGTAAAATGTAACAAAATCCTACTAAAGAAACAAGAGTGCTTGATCTTTAACAGAGAGTATAATATAATAAACACAATATTTATTATATTTGTGTTTTTGAGCAATTAAGTTTTTTTTTATTTTTATAGTTGAGAGTTAATTAAGATTCTTATTTAATCAGTATTGTTCATTATAAAAAGTTAGTAATTTAAGATCAATATTTAAATTTAAAGTTAAATAAAATCTTGATTGCTATCTCAATCAATAATTCATTTAACATCAATTAACTTTTTAATGACTTTTTTAATCTTCCAAATAAGTGACTTTAATCATAAAATTATGTTTGATGTATTTTTACTAAGAACGACAGTTTACTTAGATCTTACCCATAGCTTCAGTGTCTTAGTATTTTGTTAAAGTTGAGATTAAACCACAATGAGTAAGTTCACAACTATTGACATTACTAAGAGACCTTAAAGAAGATTTTCAGGTATCTTATTCTTTTCTTTTTTTAGCTTTTCACCTTTTTTTCTTTGCTAAAACCCTTAAAGACTTCATTATTTCTCTGCTTAACTCTTTCGTATGTCAGTGTGATTATGAAAATTGTCTCATTTTGTACACCGTGATTAAATGGAGAATCTTTAACAACACCCACACGTCTGAAGGATACGGTTAAAATATTGTAGGTCTCCTTCGTTAAGCTATGCTAGTAAGGAGAAAGCAGATTAAATGTGTTTATACATGAATAAGAAATTCAACGTCAAAGCTAATGGCTTTAATTGTTCCACTGGTGAGACATTAACATTTATCCTAATATTAGGAGTTGTAATAGAGATAATGGAAATCGATGATCAATGTTAGAACAGTTGTCAACGACGACCTTAGGCTCAATAGTAGTACCTTATGACTTGTGTTCTGCTATTATCACGACCATTTAATTTAATTAACTTGGAAATTTATTGTACTTAGTACTGAAATATATGAATTTAGATATTTATATAATTCTATTAAAAATGATTAATAGAATAATTAAAACAGAATTTTAATAGGGTATTTTTCTTGCAGAATTAAAGGCCAATAACAAAGTCTATCGATACAATCTTAATTTCGTGCTCGGCTCAAAGATGACGTGGATCGTGATACATCTAGAGCACAGAATATAAACTTGAGATATTCATGATCAGGTGTTCAAGGGTATTATCATCAAGATGCGCCAGTGAAAAGTTGTATTGGAGACGAGTTTTAAACGTGGCCCTGAGCTTTCGGGGCAGTTGGCCGAGGCCAGGGGCTCTATGATGATGTCGAAGTGAGGCTGTTCGCTTTTCTTGACATACTCGATATATGGGAGAAGGTCAAGCACCTTTTGGATCAGACAATGAAGCACTTGCTAAGGGTTGTTGATATGCGCACGCGCTTCAAACTTGCGAAGATTTTTGTCCCCTTGTTCTAAGTGCAACAATTGTTCTTTTTCATCTTCCATTATTTTTCTAATCAATTGGCGTACAGATCAATTATCATTCAACCGGAACAAAAAAGTTCCACTCGCATATCACATTCATTCAATAGTATTTGCCCGACGATTTTAGTTGCTCATCCAAGTTATTATACTTGGTTTCTTTGCTCGAATGTAAATTTACTCGAGATTCATGAATAATTCAAAATTTATTCTCCTTTCTCTTGCCATAATGACACTCTTCACAAATCGTCTAGTATCCCTCTATTCATTCACACACCTGCATTTTCAATCATTGATTTGGGATGCCAAAAAATATTTGAATTCTAGTATCAACCTTCCTGTATTATTGTTGTAAATTCTAAAATACGGTAAATAATGTTTCGATGTTTTTACATTATTATGATAGAAAATAGACGTAGTACAAGCAGAAAGCTACGCTCAGTTGAACATCGATCAAATTTACTGTCAAAATGTCTAATGGTTGCGGAAAAAAGATCATAAGAAAGCTCGTCATGAGGAAAAACTTGTAATAAAGTTATAAAAGCAGAGACAAACTTTATTTCTAGTAATGAAATTATATAATTGTATCAAAGAGTTAAAAAATTTATTAATAACTGTTTAATGCATTATAAGTAATTCACAATCAGCAACAATAATTTTTATTATTGTTATTATTTACATTCATTATGTTATATTTAATATTATTATGAAATGCATGTCTGCATGTATTTGACTGCAGTTCATTTAATTTTACTCAAAAAATACAAATTTACTGTAGTGATAATTATAACGTTTTTGTCTTTTTTTTTATTGTTAATACAGTTGCCATGGAAATGAGCATCGGCATTCCGGAAAGCATGAAAAGTGTTCATTACAGAAGCTCGAATCCTCCTGGCCATTTTCCCTGTAAGTTCTACACGGCTTTATATATTTTACAATTGAAAAAGTAATCATTTTACCTTCTTCTTCAAATTGACATCATCAGAGAAATTTTATTAATATAATTTCGAATTACGCTTGGGGTTTTCTACCTTCTTTCCAGCTTTATCCTTTCATTTATTAACTTTATACATAAAGTCTCCCCTTCGTGAAGAAGAATGTAATCCCAATTCCTCTCACTACTCATCGTGATCGAGTTAAATTCTACCAGCGTGGTAGAATCGGAAATATTGACAAGATAATTTCCGAAAATAATTATCTTACTGAATTACGTTTTTACTTTTGAACCAGATGAAGAAGATTCTGGAAATTTCATTAATTTATCTTCTATAAAAATAAGGAAATTAAAACAATTAGTTTAAAAGTTGGATCAATTAAAGAAAAAGTATCTTGTACCAGTGATATTTTTTTTTGTTGCTGGCACCCATTCTTTGATCAATAATTGTGCACTATTTGGCGCTGCCAGGTGGTACACATCTCGTGGCCACCCTCTGCTTCCGACAAGCTTTCCTAGTGTCTTGGAATATGGTCAGCAGATGGCACCACACGGTAGATTGTTCACTGCACCCCTTTACAGGGTATATCAACTCCAATTTATACTGTTTCACACTGGAAATAGCATACACAGTTCTAACAATGTACGATAAAGTCATCTCTACACTAAAACACAATAACCAGATAATAGTTTTGAGTCATCTGTTTTAAATGAGTTAGTTATCAATTTTTATTGTTTTTCATATTGGATTTTTTTTAGAACATTGTTTGATCTTGATAATTAACAAGTTTGATTAATCAGCAAATTAACTCAAGATTAAACCCTCCCTTTCAGAACTTCAACTCACAAGGTGTACCTGACCTTAACATCAATTGGTCGATATCACTGAAAATAGACAAACCCTACATTTAACCCAAAGAGACTGTTTATTTATAAATCTCAATAACTTGCACAAACCGATTTATCTTTGTTTTTGAGATAACAGCTTATTTGGCAGTCATTTTAGATTTAACACTAAAAGTTGATATATTTTACTTTGAATAAGTTTTAAAGAATTCATATAAATTATATCACCGCTTTTTAACTTTCATTTCAAATTTCATTTCCTGAAAATATAACGAGTATTTTTGTTATAATGTCCTGGATGAAAACTTTCTAAAGATCAGAGATTATCATTTACAATTTTCATTTTTAGATTTATGTTTTGGTCATTATAAAATTATCAGACTCTCGGTTTAAATGAAAATACTTAAAAGGCTTATTGATAAGAGAAAAGCTCTTTTTCCTATTATATAACCTTGAGAAAAAGAGAAAATTAATGTGCTCTAAAAAAACCCATGGCCGTCTACTTTGAGAGACATATATGCATACACTTCTTACCCTGACACGGAGAATTGAAGTACACACTTCAATTCTACAAAGGCCTTAAAGTGGTACTATTGTATATTGTGCCTGAGAATTATTGAAACAACAATCATTTCGTATATATGTCCTCTATTCAGTGCATTTTAATTCAATATTTAAAAAAAAAGACAATATGATCAATGATAGCAATCTTTCTTCGATTGACTATTATTCTATTTCTCGAAAATTGACATTGATATTTCATAGTATTTGCTTTTATATCCTATTCAAGAGAAATTATAAATGATTCAGAAGTTCATTCTTGATATTTTCGAGCTTTTGAATTTGTAAATAATAAATACTTGGAGGAATTTTATTTCAATCTTCATTATCAATAAAAACTTTTATTATTTATAATTAAACCAATTTATTTTTTGTAATTTAATTGAAATCAATAGATAAAAAGGTCCTGTGAAATTTTTTGCAACATTTTCACTGACGATAGCTTGAATTTTAATTATATTTTTAAACAAACTATGATCTAATAATATTCTTTATTAATTATAAAAAGAAAAAAAATATATTTGGATTTTTTTTAATATAAAAAAAAATATATTACGTAAAAAATTTAATTTTAAACCTGCAACCGAAGCGCATGTAGCGGTATATCGAGTGATGAAAGCTAAGTAGGGACAGCTCGGAGAGCGCAGCCGTGAATTCACTCGATATTGCAGAATGGTCCTACAGGGAGTGACAGGTGTCGCCGTTGCGAGGGTGTAGAAAAAGCTTAAGATCGGTGGAACAATATTTCAATACTTTCAACTGCAATAAAATAATATCACAAAGGCCATTATTAAAAATAGTTGTTTGATATTCAGTGAAAAAGACAAAATAGAGTGCAGTGAAATTGTAAAATAACTTGAAAGTGAAATGAATCGAATAAGTCAGAGTGTTGCTCAGTAACTGATTGAGCAGATGACGTAGATGGTGCAAAAGAAATAAAAATTTTCATTCAGCTTTGATTGAAAGACATGCAAAAAATATTAAATGACATAAAACAATTGTTTTATTGATGATAAACATTTTGAAGTGATAAAAAAGCCTTTGATAATTATTATTAAATATGAATTTTTTTAATCTTAACTTTGACAACTGATATTATTGTTCATTCACATTTATTCCAAGTGTCCAGAGATTAAATTAACCAAACAAAAAGTTTCCAGTGTGTAATAAACATGATGTTTAAAATAATTTTTGAATGATATTGTTTTTTAAAAAATCACTATTTATTTATTTTTCATAACGCTTTTTTATTATAATTTTTTATCAACTCAAACATCAAAAGCCAAGTGATGGAATTCAATGAAAGTGTTTTTAACCGTCCTATAAATTATTTATTTGCAAGCTTAAAATTAATCATCTATGCTACATTTGCCTTCAGCCAATTGATAAATCCTTAAAAAGCAATTTCAATAACTGCGCAAGCTCAGTGCCTTGGATACCGAGTCGCCTGTTTTCCTGGCAAACTTGCGAATATACCAGACACGAATATCTAAGCTTTCTCGTGTGACAAGAGGAACATAAGCTTGAAGCGTACTCAGGACGTTGTACTGAAAACATACTGAGCTTCATTGCTTCATACAAAACATTAATTGATCATTGGCTGTGTTTACTTATTTGTATAAAATTTTAGAAAGCTGCTATAAGTGTTCGATAAAGAAGCCTTGAATAATTAAATAAAAATCAATAACTAATTATAATAATATATGGAATTTTAAATTTGAAAAAAAAAAAACAATGCAGTAGAAATACACAATATTTTTGCTACACACTTTGTAATTTATAAATCAACAAAGCTTGCTGCTTGTCATTATCTTCTTATCTTCGTTGTTTACGAAAAATATTTACAAGTGTTCTATGAGTAAACAACGAATAAATATTTATTGTTATTTAACAAATCATTTCGTTGGAGAGTTTTTGAATAGAAATAATTGCTCAAAGAGAAGTGTGAGAGAGAAAGATATATGGAAATATGTCATTTAAAAATATCTTACGAAAATGTTTGAAAAAAACGCGGCAAATAATCATACATGTTTGGAACAGTTAACGGACATAATAATTTTGGCTGAAAGTGCAAATAAATATTTATTAAACGTGTGTGAGATGATTTTTGGCACGAAAATGTCAATAACTTAATACACCAGAGTCGAGAGGAAGTAAAAAAGAAATAAGGAGATAAGGAGGAAGAATGACAAAATACGGATTCGCCAGGTTGGCGATATGGCGGCCAAGACGTTCAGCGAACTCACAACCTCAGCACTATCAGGAGAACAATCCTTTAATGTATGAAATCATTGTTTGACATGGCAATTTTTGATGAAAAAAAAAATATCATATGGATGTGCAATATTAAATAATATTTTATACACTACTTGATAATTGTTAAAAATTTTGTTGCAATTGCTCACGCTAGCTTGTCACAAAAATCATCATTCTTTCAGTTGAGAGAAATAAAATGCAATGTGCTTTAATTGTTACATTGTGCCTTAACAAAATTGTTAATATGAATAACTATTATCATTAATTGTATTTGATCACTTAAATTTTTTATATGATAAGTATGATTGTAGATGCCTTGAAATAAACGTCACCCATAAATTTTTTTGTAATATGCAATAAATCTTGTTGTTTCATGCAATAAATTTTTTGTTTTTTCATCGCTTGCTGTGCTGCCTTTTCAAACCCTTCCACCTTATTTTTAGCTTTTTATGTGTGTTACAGATGCGAATTATAATTCCAACTTCATTTTTATGTTGTTTAAAAATTATTTTAAAAAGTGAAAGATTATTAAATATTTATATTAAACTCGATATACATAATCCAAGTTTAAACCATACCCATCAACTTCGTTGAAATCTATTTAAAAGTTTAACGTGAGGTAAGATAATGAGGTATCCGCATGCAAATGATTCCTAGATAGTTATTATTTGTATAAGCAACGCACTTGAATCATGACCTATTGAAGTTGAACTAAAGGGGTGAGGTATAACAGATCCCTAGGGCAAAACTGACCTTCAATTTTTGTTGTTTAGGATGATATGATTTTCTGAAAAATTTCTATTGAAGCATAAAGGATAAAAATTGCAGTCGTTTGGCATTTTACAGAGCTTTCAAAAGAATATTAAAGTAAAAAGATTATTACATTTTCATGTGACAACAGACTTATGAATAATTTTTCCTCAATTTATCGTTAAAAAAAATTTATGCATGCAAGAAACATCAAAAATATGAATAATAAAATATTTTTATGTATATTTTTTTTCAATAATTTTTTATTAAATAATCTTTCAAACATAGTATCGTAATATTTAATAAATAATATTAAATTTCCTTCAGTTTATTTTTAATTTTTTTCTTTATTCACAAAGATGATTTTAAATTACTTTTTCTTCCCCAACCTATAACTTAAAATTTTTTTAATCATGGAAATAATTCACTGCTCCAATGAATTGATAATTTCAGCTTTGAATCTATTGTTAAAGTTTGCTGTTAAGTAAAAATGGAATTTTTTGCTAAATTAATTTTTCCGAGGAATCTGTTATACTTCATGTAGTTTTATTAATCTCAT